CTTCTGCCCATCCCCATACTTCAATTATATAATTAGTATAAATAAAAAAAAAAATCTGTCTGACAAAAATAAATATTATATATACAATTTTATTTTTAAATGTAATTATATATTAACTTTGTAAATTTATTAAGATTAAATGAATTCCTTCACATCATTATTTTAGTTTTTATATCATTAAATTTTTTTTTCTTTTCTTTCTTTTCTTTTTTTAATAATAGTAATAATAGATTGTGATAGTTCATTCATTATTGCTATTTTTAACAAAAGCACCCAGTGTTGTTTGCGAATGAGATAAATCGAGACTCTCAATAGCAATATGAATTATAACAAGAATTCTGAGCATTGAAAGCAAGATATACAATTGCATTAAATGAATGCAAGTTTAGTCTCAGATCTGATGCCAAAACTGACGATGCCAACTTCGATTTTGTGGACGTATAATAAGTAATACTATCGACTTTTTCGAGCTATATGTTACCAAGCAAATGTTACCAAGCATTAAAGGAAATTTCAGCATAGCTTTCCACGTGCTTGTGAAGCTTGAATTAGAAATTAAAAATAATCTCGCAAAAATGAACAATGAAAATGATTCTTGGCAAGTTCGTTGGCTCGTTTCTTCAACAAAATTACCAACAAGTTTTGATCAGTTAGTAGTTTTTGGCTTCGACCTTCTGTAGCAGCAACAACCAGTAGCGGCACGATTGATCTGATTTCGGTGACTGTAACTGTGCAGGTTGATTGCACTTGCGGAATGGAAATGTGATTTTATTAATAGGTTACGATCGATGGTGTATAATTTTAATGCAATTACGTCCCGCATATTATTCCATGTGTCGAATCGAACGTAAATTTGAACATAAATTTGAAGCACTATAATACTGAGTATTGAAGAACATCAATCAGATTGGTATCGTTTCGAACAACTTTGCTGTTGCATGATGTATATTATTAAATTCAAAATGCCATTTGGCTAATGATATTTACCTTAGAACTTTGCAACCAACATTTTTTTCGAGAACAGAGAGAACTAAGAAAGAAAAAGTAAATATTGAAAACAAACGCATATATATATAAAATTACAAAAAAAAATAACGTATTCTCTAATTTGCAATGATATTATTGCAAGAAACATCATAAAATAAATAATAATTTAAAGTATCATCTTTACAGATGCATTATTTCGTGAAAAAAGATATAATAAGATGTAATTCCTACATTTTTTCAATAATACCAAACAACACAAACGCGCACTGTATATTTTTTAAATAGAAGAAGCAGAAATTAATGTAATACTATTATTATTAACCTTTTGATATACTCAACATATAACTGTCAAAATAATTTCACCATTCATCAAGTTAATATTACGTAAATCAATCAGCATCGCGAGAAAGAAGTAATGATAAACTTTGAAATTCAAGACTTTCGAGTTTCAGTTAACATGCCTTTTTTTAAAAAATATAAACTTTTATATATTTTTATGTACTTTTACATTTATATGCTTTTACCTTTATGATGTATTTTTATCTATTTTTCATTTATGATATAGAAGTTATTATCGACGTTTCTTTCAGTTTAGTAATGTTAGTCTCAAATTTAAAAAATACAAATTTTTATAATTATTTCTTAAGCATTAAGAAATAATATAAATGTATTTTTAAAATATTAG